CTTGCAAGTGCTCAAGTATTTCTTTTGATTTATGAATTCCAAGTAGAAAAGGGAGCTTAACTTGTTTACCTGTCACACCATTGTTCACAGTGACCAATATCATCAAGATTTTGATTACCAAAAACTCCTCTATTTTGCAAAGCCTTTAAACTTTTCTTACTAATGTGGCCAAGTCTTTCATACCATAGTTTTGCAAGAGAGAAATTTTCATTTAATGCAGCAACAGTCAAGCCAAGTAAGGGTTTATCTTTAAGAAAGTAAAGACCATGTCTCTTAGGGATATTGTTTGCTAAAATTATATACCATAAGTGCATGATTGTGTTCAAGTAATAAAGTAGACTTATGAGTTCCAGTATCGATCCCTCGAGGAGTTTTTTTTTTTATTAGACAATTGTTGACTCAATTTTAAGAATTGAAAACACACAATTAGATTTCATATGTGAAAAGGAAAGGAAAATAGATTTGAAGATCAATTAAAATAACAATTATGAAAGAAAAGGAAAATTGACTTATAAATGAGTTGGGATTTACGATATCACTTAACCATCATTTCTTTAATATTGCAACAAATCGAAAATGTAAATTACCTTGTTACATTGTTAGACCCGATTTTTCAAGTTCATAAAATTACCTCTTTTGAGTGCAATTAACCATAATCAATTGGTTTTACTCACTATATCTCTATGTTAATAAAAACCCAATCGACCGCATTCAAATGGTGATGAAAATAACTCAATGGGTCACCTAGGGTTTGGAGTATGTCTCTATCTCCTAAATCAACCTAGGGCATTAATTATTTTGGTCAAGAATGCACAACACAACAATCTCTCAATAGTTGCACAAACCACTAAATTCAATCAGATATTGGCCACAGACGTGATGAAAAATAAATGCACAATAACTTAGTAATTAAAGCATTAAATGATGAATATTGAAAATAAACAAACTTAGGTCAAGTTAGATCATAAATCTCGACATTAAATACTTAGCTCGTTGTAAAATAGAAGAACAAAAATGAAATAAAGAGAGAACCCATTACAAAATGAAGGTGAAAATAGAAAACTACAAGATAGTGGAAGAAAACCATCCTTTGAATATATTCTTGAAGAAATGAGGGATTGAAATCTTGAATACTCCTTGTAAACTCCCAAATTTTGCCAGATATTCTCCCTTCTTCTTGCCTCTTCTCTCCTTGAAAAATTTTCAAAGTGTTCTCCTATGGGCCTTGCCCTAGAAGTGACCAACAAGTGAGTACTTAAATGGCCAAAAATCGTATTAAGTGAAATTGTGAAAGAGGTCCTGAAATTTATGCGAAATAGGCAAAATTTGCCCAGCTGGAAAGCGGCGTGCGCGCACGGGCATTTGTGGCGCCTGTGCACCGTTAGATGCTTTTAGCCTCAGGAGATCACAAAGAACCTTCCACACGAGCGCCATAGTAAGCCTGTGCGTGAGCACTGGCTTTCTTCATTTCTTTTTCCAACTTAGTCATCCATTTAATTGCACACAAGGCCCTCAACTTTGATCATGTACAACTTGGTCCTCAAAATTTGATTTTCATATCACTTTGGCCCTTCAAAATTGCAACAATAGGTCCCTAAACTTTCAACACTTTATACTCTAGTCACCAAGTCATGTTCTTGTGTACTTTTGGTCCTTTCTCCTCCAATTTGGACTTTTTGCCTACAAACACCATAATTACACAAAGGAATCCACTCAATTTCATTAATAATTAGCTCGTTAAAGTGCCTAATAAGTATGTAGAAGCACACTTATCAAATACCCCAAACTTAAGTTCTTATTCGTCTCCAGCAAGATTAACTCCTAAAATAATCATGTAATAGATACAAAGAACCAAAAATATTAGATAGCCCATCAATATAAATGAGAGTGTAAAATTGTGTAATCAATTCACACCTATGCTTTCAAATCATGCTACCAAAAACAATGTAAACTTGTCCAATACTTGATCGGTATATTTGTGTGCATAGTCACTTTTAATCATCACCTAAATTTGGAAACAATTATCAAGACGAACAAAATCTTCAAATTGGCTCCAGTCCGAATCCTTTGTGGTCAAATATTTTATTTCTCGCTCTTGAGATTCACACACTGAAATAGATATTTCTTTTCCTTTCCCTGGTAAAAATATAAGGGTAGCTATCCAATCACTCATTTCTTTTCCCTCTCTAGTTTGGTTGGGTCTAATCGGCAATTTCAACATCTAGACATGTGATGATTCTCCACTAATGAGTGCTTCCACATTCAAGCTTATACTAAGTAATTCAAACCCACTAGTTATCTAAGCCGAAATATCAAATACAATTGCACAACAATTTTTTTTTATTTAGCCAAATCCCATGTTTTACCTCACTCCCTTAAACATTCTTCTTGACCCTTGTAGTGAGCTTTAGGTAGATAACTCCCCGGTTGTTTGGGCCAAAGGGTACCTGGTTTTGAGATATCCCTACGAACTTAATAACTCAAAAAGGCTGCGAAGTAAGGCCCAAGATTCAACAAGTTTAATAACTTTTTTTTGTTTTTTTTAAGCGCAATAAAAATGGGACTTAGACTCCTAACATATGGTCATTGCATAGCTTATACTTGGCAAAAGACACTCCACACAAATATTTTCAACATGCATGGAATCACACACTTCTAAATTATATCCTTCGCCGGCTCGACCGTCCCCAAACTTATCTTACAATATGGTTAAGTGAAAGAGATGTGGATATATGATTGACAAAAATTTATGCACAACTCACAACCTAGTTCAACCAATTCAAAAATTTCTCCATCAATCAACCATTTCCAAATCTAGACAACGACCAATCATGACTAGTGTGCTCAAAGTGGTATAATATCTCACATGGACAAGCAAATTTCAAGATCAAGGCAAATAACATGATTGGACATAGATTATAAATTAACAATAATTTTAAACATCACATCCAATCATCAAAAGCCAACAAGGCTATCCAACACTTTAAATATTAATACCAATATAAGTACAATATATAAGCACACTATCCCATCAGCACCTCCGAACTTAACTTACACATTGTCCTCAATGGTACAAAAACAATATAAAATAAGAAAAGAAGGTTGATGAAACTTCCTCGATTAGGTGTTAGCTGAAGGAAGCTATGGATGACTTTTTGGGTCAAGACTCGGTGTACGGTGTACCCCCAAACTTGTTGAGATCCATGGGTAGCTAGGACTTCAAAAATTTTGACCTGCAAAAGAAGAGTGTTAAATAAAAATACAATATCAAAAGTATTAATCACAAGTAACATCAAAAGGTATAAGGATAAGAAATTTGGGTTGCCTCCCAACAAGCTCTTGCTTATAGTCTTTAGCTCGACTATTGGGCTTGTTCACTCCGGACTGGCAAGAAGAATGGAGGACTTCTCTTTTAAAAAATCATCTCCAAATTATGGTTTCAACCGTTGCCCGTTAACCTTGAAGTTTCTTTTTTCCTCATGATGAAGTTTAACTGCTCAATGTGGAAAGATTTTAGTGATGGTGAAAGAACCCGACCATCTTGAGCGGAGCTTTTAGGGGAACAATCGGAGTAGAGAATTGTAAAGAAGAACATGTTGCCCAACAAAAAACTCTCGCTTTACAATGTGTTTATCATGCCATTTCTTTGTCTTTTCTTTGTAAATTCGAGCATTCTCATAAGAGTCAAGGTGGAGTTTATCAAGTTCATTCAATTAAAGCAATCTTTTCTCACCGGCCAATTTAATATCAAAATTTAAAGCTTTTATTACCCAATAAACCTGATGCTCAAGTTCGACCAGAAGGTGGCAAGCTTTTCCTAACAAAAGGCGATAGAGAGACATACCAATGAGTTAATGAAAGCGGTGCGGTAAGCCCATAACGCATCATCCAATTTCTTGGACCAATCTTTTCTAGAGGCACTCAACGTTAATTCAAGAATCCTCTACAATTCTCGATTCGAAATCTCAACTTGGCCACTAGTTTGGGGATGATAGGGAGTAGCCACACGATTCTTTACTCCATATTTGGTTAATAGTGAGTCGAAGAGGCGATTGCAAAAATATTTACCTCCATCACTAATGATGGCTTGGAGGGTGCCATAGCGAGAGAAAATATTTTTCTTTAAAAAGTTCACTACCACCAGAGCATCATTAGTGGGCAAAGACACCACTTCTATCCACTTTAACACATAATCAACCGCCACTAATATGTATTGATCTGAGAATGAAAAAGGAAAATGTCCCATGAAATCAATACTTCACACATAAAAAATGTCCACCTCTAATATAGAATTCAAAGGCATTTCAATTCGATTGAAAATATTACCACTGCATTGGCATTTGTTGCACTTTGAGACAAGAGTGTGAGCATCTTTGAATAATGTGGACCAATAAAACCAGATTGAAGTACATTTGATGCGGTTTTCACGGTCCCGAAGTGACCACCATAGGGCGAGGAATGACATTGTTCAAGGATTTGCTCCATTTATCTTCCGACATACATCTCCAAATAATTTAATCTGGGCCCCGTTCGAACAACAAAGGATCATCCCAAAAATAATGCTTGATGTCGGTGAAGAACCTCTTCCTTTGTTGGTAAGAAATATCCGGTGGAGTAATGCCACTAGCAAGAAAGTTCACATGGTCCACATACGACGGTGTATGGGTGGCTTGTAGAAGATGCATAATTTGAAAGAGTCGTTCATTGAAGAATACCTCATTTATCTTCCCATCCACCAACTCTTCGATTTGTTCTACAACAACATTTTTGGTCTGTTTTTTTATCGCTAATTTCCAATTCAAACTCTTGTAGAAGAAGGACCCATCTAATCAATCAACGCTTGGCATCTTTTTTTGCTAGCAAATACTTGAGGGTGAGTGGTCTATGTAAACAATCACTTTCGACCCAATGAGGTAAGATCAAAATTTATCAAATGTAAATACCAATGCGAGCATCTCTTTTTCAATAGTGGCATAGTTCAGTTGAGCATCAGCCAAAGTTCATCTAGCATAGTAAGTAACATGCAAGATTTTATCTCTCCTTTGCCCAAAAACTGCTCCAACAGCATAATCTCTTGAATCGTACATAAGCTCAAATGGTAAATTCCAATCCGAAGCTACAATGATATAAGTTGTGATGAGCTTCTCTTTAAGAGTGTTGAAAGCATGGAGGCACTCTTTGAGAGAAATCAAATGGAGTATTCTTCTCAAGTAAGGAGCAAAGTGGCTTTGTGATCTTCGAGAAGTCCTTGATAAACCTCTTATAAGATTCGACATGACCCAAAAGCTCCTTATCCCCTTTACTGAGGTTGGTGGAGGTAATTTCTCAATGACTTGGATTTTTACCTTGTCAACTTCTATCCCTTTGCATGAAATCTGATTGCCGAGAACTATGCCTTCTTAAACCATAAAATGACATTTTATCCAATTAAGTACTAAATTGGTCTCCTCACATCTCTTCAACACCGTATCCAAATTTTTCAAGCATCCCTCAAATGAGACTCTAAACATCGAAAAAGCATACATGAAAACCTCAATACATTTCTCTACCATGTCGGAGAATATAGCCATCATATATCTTCGGAAACTGGTGGGGGCATCGGAAAGACCAAAGGGCATCCTTCTATATACAAATGTACCATATGAGCACGTGAATATAGTTTTCTCTTGATCCTCCGGGGCTATTGGAATTTGATTATAGCCCGAATACCCATCCAAAAGCAATAATGAGAATACCCCGCTAACTACTTGAGCATTTGATCAATGAAAGGAAGAGGAAAGTGATCCTTCCTTGTAGCTTTGTTGAGCTTACAGTAGTCAATGCATACCCTCCAACCAGTCACGGGTCCAGTAGGTATAAGTTCATCATCCTAATTTTTCACAACCATGACAGCTCTTGTCTTTGGCACTACTTGAACGGGACTCACCCATGCACTATCAGAAATTAGGTAAATAATACTCGCATCAAGCCACTTTACCACCTCGACTCCTACCACTTCTTTCATATTAGGATTCAACCATCTTTGATGCTCTGATGATGGTTTAAAATCGTCCTCCATAAGGATTTTGTGCATGCATAGTGAAGGACTAATTTCCCGAATGTCTACAATAGTCCAACCAATGGCTTTCTTGTGTTCCATCAACACCCGAAGTAACTTTTCTTCCTCCAATTCACTTAAGGAATTATCAATGATAATCAGAAGCGTATATAACTCTCCCAAATAAGCATACCTCAAATGAGGTGGAAGAGGCTTCAAATCAAGTATAGGTGCTTGTTGAAGAAATGGTAGTGGTGGTGAAGAGCTCTTTTCCAAGTCCTCATAATTTGGTACCCTCTTGTAAGACCTTCTTTTGTAAGACCGAGAAGGTGTAGCCTCCAAATAGTGTACCATATGCTCAACTTCAGACGGATACAACATCCACGCGAAGGCATGAATCGAATTCCGATGGATACTTGATGCCTTCAAGATATTGAATCTAACTTGTTCATCTTGGATTCTTAGAATGAGTTGTCCCCTTTGCACATCATCAAAGCTCGACCGGTGGCAAAAAATGAATGTCCCAAAATGATAGGGATGTCATGGTCCTCTTCCATGTCAAAAATTATGAAATCAGCTAGAAATATGAATTTGTCCACCTTGACCAATAAATTCTCAATGACATCTCGAGGATATTTAATTGATCGATCAGCCAATTGTAATGATACAGTGGTGGCTTTGGCTTCTCCCAATCCTAACTTTCTGAAAATAGACATAGGCATCAAATTAATGCTGGCACCAAGATCCCATAAAGCTTTACTAAAATTTAAATCTCCAATAGTGCATGGAATAGTAAAACTCCCTGGATCTTTGATTTTCAATTGTAGCTTCTTTTGAAGAGTGGCACCACACTCCTCCATTAGCATTACTATCTCATGCTCTTTGAGTTTTCTTTTTGTTTGAAAGAATGCCCTTCATGAATTTGGCATAACTTGGCATTTGAGTTAATGCATCGGCAAATGGAATGTTTATGTATAGTTTTTTGAAGACCTCCAAAAAAATTTCAAACTGAGCATCCAATTTCTGTTTGTGAAGCCTTTATGGGAAGGGAATTGAAGGCACATAGGCCCTGATCGGTGTTGGAGCCTTTGACGTTAATGGCTTCGGTTTATCTTCCCTGGTTGATTCATCCTTTCCATTAGGTTTTTTCATAACCCCTTCTTCTTCAATGGGTGCCTTTGTCGGTTTGAGCTTTAGGACGTGTCACCGTGATTTCAGGCAATTGAACCCCACGTCTAGTGGTAATAACTTGCACATTATCTCTTGGATTTGTTTCGGTGTTGCTAGACAACACCCCTTGTTGCCTTTCGGAGAGAAGTTTGGCAATTTGACCAACTTGACGTTTCAAAATTTTCAAGGATGCATCATTGCGTTCTTGATATTGCAATTGATGGTTTGCCAAATTAGCAATGGCCTCTTCCCAACCTTCTTTCTTCTTTTGTGGTTTCGGGTTGAGCACATTTTGATTATTTCCATATGACAAGTTTGGATGATTTCGCCAACTGGGGTTATGAGTTTGCGAGTAAGGATTGTATCCCTGGCGTTGAAAGTTTTGAGCATATGCCACTTTCTCAGTGGATGCTGTACCACCACCTATTAATGGGTAACTCAGGCTTAGGTGATTTGCTCCACAAATAGGCAGAAATTGAACCTCTCCCATGCCTCATGAAAGCTTTCAAATTCAAATTGTTGGAATGTGGTTATGTCATGCTTGAGTTGGCTACTCGGGCAGGTGGAAAGAATTCGATTGTGAATTTTTGAACAAGTTTCAACCAACTATTTATACTTCTAGGTGGTAAAGTCTCAAGCCATTCCCATGCTTCATCTTTCAAAGTGTGAACAAATAACCTCATCCTAATTGCCTCCATATTCAGCCTTTATATTTAAAATTTCCTACATTCTCTGTAAAACGTGCGACATGTGAGTGAGGGTTTTCATCAATTCTCCCATAGAATGGAATGGTGTTGGAGAACAAATTGATAACATCCGGACGAAGTTGAAAGTTTGGATGTCCATATGGAGGATAGACTCTACTACGGCTGGGTTCATGAAGTCCCCAAATAAGATATCTTCCTCATTTACAATAGGCCCTTGAGCCCTACCCACTTGATTACCAAAACCCGGTGGCATTCCACCTCAAGAAATATTTTTCGATTAAGCATTAGGTTTCTTGGTGTGCCATATCAATCAGTTGTTGCCTTCTCAATTTCCTTTGTTCCTGTCGCCTTCTTCGAAAAGTTCTTTCAATATCCGGATCAAGTTCAAAAAGATCAAAACTTCTCGAACGAAGCATACACTACTGAAGACCTAAGGAAATCAAAATAAGAAGTTAACTGCACAATAAATATATAAAAGCTATGAAAAGAACAAAAATTGTAAAAATTAGAATAAAAAAAAGATAAAAATTGAAATAAAATACCCCCGGCAACGGCGCCAAAAACTTGTTCGCTAAAATTATATACCGCAAGTGCATAGGTACGTTCAAATAATAAAGTGAACTTATGAGTCCGAGTATCGATCCCTCAAGGAGTTTTTTTTTTTTTTAATTATACAATTGTTGACTCAATGTTAACAATTGAAAACACACAATTAGGTTTCATATATGAAAAGTAAAGGAAAATGAATTTGAAGATCAATTAAAATAACAATTATGAAAGAGAATGAAATTTGACTTATAAATGAGTTAATATTTACGATGTCACTTAACCATCATTTCTTTAATATTGCAACAAACTGAGAATGCAAATTACCTCATTGTCGTTACATTTTTTGACCCGATTTTTCAAATTTAGTTAATTACCTCGCTCGAGCGCAATTAAACCTATCGATTGGTTTTACTCACTATATCTCTATGTTGATAAAAACCTAATCGACCGCATTAAAATCGTGATGAAAATAACTCAATGGGTCACCTAGAATTTGGAGTATAACTCTATCTCCTAAAACAATGTAGGGCATTAATTACTTTGGTTAAAGATGCATAACAATCTCTCAATAGTTGCACAAATCACTAAATTCAATCATATATTGGCCACATACATGATGAAAATTTAAGCACAACAATAAATGCACAATAACATAGTAATTCAAGCATTAAATGATGAATATTGACATTAAAGAAAAGTTACATCATAAATCCCAACATTAAACACTTAGCCCATTGTAAAATAGAAGAACAAAACTGAAATAAAGAGAGAACCCATTACAAAATGAATGAGAAAATAGAAAACTACAAGATTGTGGAAAAAACCGTCCCTTGAATATATTTTTGAAGAAATGAGGGATTGAAATCTTAAATATTCATTGTAAACTCCCAAATTTTGCTAGATATTCTCCCTTCTTCTTGCCTCTTCTCCCCTTGAAAGCTTTTCTAAGTGTTCTTCTATGGGTCTTGCCCTAGAAGCGACCGACAAATGGGCATCTAAATGGCCAAAAATCTTTTTAAGTGAAATTGCGAAAGAGATCCCGAAATTTATGCGAAATAGGCGAAGTTTGGCCAACCAGAAAGCAGCGCTCTTGCACAGGCATTTGTGGCGCTCGCGCACCGTTAGATGTTTTTTGCCTCGGGAGATCACAAAGAGGCTCTTGCGCGAGCGCCTTAGTAAGCATGGACGCGAGCGTGGGCTTTCTTCATTTCTTTTACCAACTTTGTCCTCCATTTAATTGCACACAAGGCCCTCAACTTTGATCATGTACAACTTGGTCCTCAAATTTTGATTTTCATATCACTTTAGCCCTCTAAAATTTCAACAATAGGTCCTTAAACTTTCAGCACTTGTACACTTTGGTCACCAGCTCATGTTTTTGTGCACTTTTGGTCTTCTCTTCCTTCCTTTAGCTCTTTTCTCCTCCAATTTGGACTTCTTGTCTACAAACACCATAATTACACAATTATAAATAGGAACCTACTCAATTTCATCAATAATTAGCTCATTAAAGTGCCTTATAAGTATGTAAAAACACACTTATCGGATACTTATGATTAAATCATTGCCCCTAAGAATTTCAATATGTCCTTGACGCAGTTTTATGTTAAACTCCAAATCATCCAACATACCTAGAGATACCTGATTTCTCTCTAGTTCTGAAACATATCTAGTTCCCTTTAAAAATAGGACCTTTCCATTCTCAAGTAACAATTTAACAGAGCTGATTCCATTTATTTTACAAGTCATATTGTTAACCATTATAACTTGTACGTAAGTTGTTCTTTCAATTTCAAGAAAATAATTTTTATTTGGGCACATATGGAAGGAACTGAATCAAGGATTCATTTATCATTCAATTTATTTGTAGCATTAACAAGGACCAACCCATATTCATCCATATTAACTTTATTGTACATTAAGGCAGCATTCTCATCATCATGTTTCTTTTCCTCTAATTTATATTTCTGTTTATAACAATCTTTAATAAAATAGCCATGTTTCCCACAGTAGAAATACTTTTTACCATTGGCCTTGTTCTTAGATTTACCCTTACCACCCCATTTCTATTTATTTTCATTTGAAGTTTTTGAGTGATAGTAAGGTTTACTAAAACCCCTTCCTTTAGCCAGTAAAGTATCCCCATTGTGGTTCTCCTTGGATTCCAATTTAATCTCTAAAACTTTGTTCTTTGGGGCATTGATTATTATTTCTGTGGTAAGTTCTGTCCTACCATATTCCAAGGCAATCTTGATGTCTCCGTATTTATCACTAATGGAGTTTAACAAGATCACAGCCAACTCATCTTGTGAAAGTTTTTCATCACAATTGGTTAGATCTTGGTTCAACTTAGTAATCCTATTCAGATTGTCATTCAAATCTGTTGAAGGATCCATTTTAAAAGAAAAGAGTTGTTTTAACAAATAGCACTTATTTGGGATTGTCTTAGTCACCTATTGTTTCTCAAGTTTAATCCATAGTTTAGAGGCTGTTTTAGCTTCACCAATGGTCCTTATCACATTTTCTGACAAGTATAGAAAAATAGTACTCTAGGCAACCTCTTCTAATTCAATTTTCCTAGCATGGTTCATATCTTGAGGCCAACTATCATCTAAAGCCCTAACACATCTCATTTACATTAGGATAGCTTTCATCTTTTGACTCCACATATTAAAATCAATTTTACCGTCAAATTGTGCAACCTCAAATTTAGTAGTAGCCATTTTATTATGCCACACACAATGCACAAGTCAGAGTCAAGATGATCACAATAGAGTATGCAAAAGACACACAACCGTGCCAATCAAGATTCACAGCAATGTTCCAAGAAGACACAATTTTGCAAGTTTTAGTCACAAGTATAGTATGCAGATCAATTCAAGTAAGGACACAATGGCAGAGGGCAGAAGTTCTAAGTTTTAGAAACTTTTCCTTCAAGATTCTCCAGGTGCACCCCTCGTTCTAGGCTTACCTCAGATTCCCAAGGCCTCACAGGAGCCTTTGGACAAAAACCAGACTTGAGAGCAATATGGTGTATGGCTAATCAAGGGGAAAATAACGAAACCCTAAAATTTTGAAAAGTAAATTTTACAAAAATTAAAAGATCTCACCCAACGAGTATTATATACTCAAAAAGTCAAACACTACTCTATAGCAGTTCCAAAAATTCAGATCTACAGCAGATCGACCTCTTCTTTCGAAGATCCAAGTATCTTGCCCCAGTTTAATGCTCTGATACCAGTGAAAGGGCAAAAAACCCACACAATTAGTTGCAAAATACAGTCGATCAACAACAAAATAGAAATTAAACTTGCAGAAAAGTAAAATGAACATAGCAGAATTTTTTCATCTGAAGCCCCAGAGGTTCAGTGTTCTTTAAAACTCCTAATCCCCTATTGAGCATCCAACAAAGAATGAATATTGCTGAGTTGCACTAAAAT